AGTTTCTGTATATGATTCTTGGTGTGTCCTGTATGCAACATGCTTATCTATTTATATCTCTTTCCAGGAAATAGAAATTGCGATCTAATTTTTAAAACAAATTTGTTTATTTTTGAGAGAGAGAGCGACAGCCAAGTGGGGGAGGGGCAGAGAGAGAAGGAGACAGAGAATCTCAAGCAGACTCTGCCCTGTCAGCATGGATCCCGATGCGGGGATTAAACTCACAAAACTGTGAGATCATGACCCGAGTGGAAACCAAGAGCCAGACGCTTAACTGACTGAGCCATCCACGCTCCCCGCGATCTAATTTTGACTGCATTGTGTTTCCTTCTATCAAATGGATGTTATCCTGTTTAAAATAAAATATATTAATCAAAGGTGTCAAACTACTTCTATATTCAGTAATGATTTTATGGTTAAAGTTAAGCTCTCGCACATGATAGTGGAAAGAAAAACGTTTTATTCTCATATTATGTTTGACATCAATTAGTATCAGTTTGGGGAGAGAGTTAAGCTATAAGGGAATTAGTAATACTCTAGTAAACCCAGAAAAAATTTACTTCCCCAAAAGAAAAACAGAAAGAAACATGCTGACAGAATAAAAATGGAAGAGCAGAAAATGGCGAAGAATCTCATGAGACGAAGAGTATGGAAATGTGTGTATGTGAGGGGTGCAATGACGTAGTTTGGAGGGAGAAGGCAGAGGAATTTGAGGTATAAAATAATGAGTGTACAGAAAAGACACAATTACAGCCCCCCATTATCCAATCAATATCGAAATGCAAGTCTAGTGAAAAAAGTCAAAATGGTTTGAATTTGAAGAGGAAAAAACATCAATGAACCAGGACACCTGGTCAGGTAAGTGATGATATAAGCCAATGTAGAATTTAGAAAGTATAATCAATGGAACCATTTGTGGACAAATCCACGCATTCAGCAAATTCATTTATGAGAGAGATACTAAAATGATTTAGATGTCTCTTCTTTTTATCACAAACACTTTTTCATGAGCAGAACCAAAGTCACCATATTAAAAAAATGGCCAGTTAAGCTTCTTGATTCCATTTGTTGGGAGAGGAAGGGTTGGCATTCCATAACCAGAAGGCTCCCTCAGCAGAACTGGCTGCTACACCCTCCAGAAGCATATCCCTGGCAAGAAAAGGCTTCAGGAGGGGGAACTGATGGTCTTGTTTCCATTAGAGATACAATGGCTTAATACTCAGCCTCTGTACATTCTGTTTGAACTAAAGATTAGGCTCCTAGAATGTTAGAATGTTATGTTCGTAGAAAACAGTTCACATGGCACAAAAACAGACACATAGACCAATGGAATAGAATAGAAACCCCAGAACTAGACCCACAAACGTATGGCCAACTCATCTTTGACAAAGCAGGAAAGAACATCCAATGGAAAAAAGACAGTCTCTTTAACAAGTGGTGCTGGGAGAACTGGACAGCAACATGCAGAAGGTTGAAACTAGACCACTTTCTCACACCATTCACAAAAATAAACTCAAAATGGATAAAGGACCTGAATGTGAGACAGGAAACCATCAAAACCCTAGAGGAGAAAGCAGGAAAAGACCTCTCTGACCTCAGCCGTAGCAATCTCTTACTCGACACATCCCCAAAGGCAAGGGAATTAAAAGCAAAAGTGAATTACTGGGACCTTATGAAGATAAAAAGCTTCTGCACAGCAAAGGAAACAACCAACAAAACTAAAAGGCAACCAACGGAATGGGAAAAGATATTTGCAAATGACATATCGGACAAAGGGCTAGTATCCAAAATCTATAAAGAGCTCACCAAACTCCACACCCGAAAAACAAATAACCCAGTGAAGAAATGGGCAGAAAACATGAATAGACACTTCTCTAAAGAAGACATCCGGATGGCCAACAGGCACATGAAAAGATGTTCAGCGTCGCTCCTTATCAGGGAAATACAAATCAAAACCACACTCAGGTATCACCTCACGCCAGTCAGAGTGGCCAAAATGAACAAATCAGGAGACTCTAGATGCTGGAGAGGATGTGGAGAAACGGGAACCCTCTTGCACTGTTGGTGGGAATGCAAATTGGTGCAGCCGCTCTGGAAAGCAGTGTGGAGGTTCCTCAGAAAATTAAAAATAGACCTACCCTATGACCCAGCAATAGCACTGCTAGGAATTTATCCAAGGGACACAGGAGTACTGATGCATAGGGGCACTTGTACCCCAATGTTCATAGCAGCACTCTCAACAATAGCCAAATGATGGAAAGAGCCTAAATGTCCATCAACTGATGAATGGATAAAGAAATTGTGGTTTATATACACAATGGAATACTACGTGGCAATGAGAAAAAATGAAATATGGCCTTTTGTAGCAACGTGGATGGAACTGGAGAGTGTGATGCTAAGTGAAATAAGCCATACAGAGAAAGACAGATACCATATGGTTTCACTCTTATGTGGATCCTGAGAAACTTAACAGGAACCCATGGGGGAGGGGAAGGAAAAAAAAAAAAGAGGTTAGAGTGGGAGAGAGCCAAAGCATAAGAGACTGTTGAGAACTGAGAGCAAACTGAGGGTTGATGGGGGGTGGGAGGGAGGAGAGGGTGGGTGATGGGTATTGAGGAGGGCACCTTTTGGGATGAGCACTGGGTGTTGTACGGAAACCAATTTGACAATAAATTTCATATATAAATAAAAAATAAAATAAAATAAAATAAAATAAAAGAAAAGAAAAGAAAAGAAAAGAAAACAGTTCACAAAACTGTGTGAGTCTCTCTTTCCCCCAATTACATTTTTTCTTTTCTTTTTCCTTTTCTTTTTTCTCGTCTTTTTTTTTTTTCTTCTCTTCTTTCTTTTCTCTTCTCTTTTCTTTCTTTCCCCTGCATAACTGATTAGGGGTGAGGATATGAAAGTTGAAAAGGAAGAAAACCCCACAGCATTAAAATGAAAAAAACCCATAGTTAAAATGTTCCAACATACTGTATGCTTTGCTCTCCACCTTTTATTTTTTACTTCCTTGGCTTCTCTGGCATTGTCTTCTTGTACCTCTTTGGCTGCCTCCAACAGCACTTCATATGGAAACTATGAGGACTCAAAGGTCAGCTGAGACAATGGAAGCTATTTACAATAAACTCTGGCAATGTGTTATTAGCCTGAACCAACCCACATGGGTTGTGCAAAGTGACTCACTGGAAAACACTCTACGCAACAGTAAACTTTTAATAGCGCAGCATCACCAATATTTCCTCAGTGGTTATGTGTTGCAGAATTTTATTCAGTCCTGTGAAAATATAATTGCTATATCCAACCTAAAGCAATTAAAATCTAAATTGTGAGGTAGTGGAGATTGGGAAACAATCTCATTACAATGAATCCACATCACTGGAATGACTCACCTGATTCAAAGTTACCCATCAAATGAGTTAAGGGAAGTGGTTAATATTAGATTTATTATATCAGCAAGTTTAAAGGTAAATGGCAAAATGAAAAAAATAATGTTCTGTCATAAACAAAGGGATTGAACTAGTTGTGAGTTGGAATGTGTCCTCAACTCACTTAAAAAGAGAGATACAATTCGAATTTTAAAAATCTGAGAAAAGTGCTCAAAACTGTTTCTCTGAATCATTCCCATCAGACAAAACTAGAAATTCAGAATGACTGCAAAATGACACCACTAGGGTAAGTAAGGAATTGGCATTAGATAATCAAGCCTGCAGACAACATGGAGAAGGAATAAGCAGAGAGAGAAGTAGGGAGAGACACAACAAAAGAAAGCATGACCCAAAGAGCGTTCTTTGGGGCCCTTGTGCAGGGCCCCAGATAGCTGTGCATTTTGGCAGCCTGTAATTTTTTTTTTTATTATTTACAATAGAATTATTTATTTATTTATTTATTTATTTATTTATTTATTTATTTATTTTAATTTAAATCCAGGTTAGTTAACATCTAGTGTAATAATGATTTCAGGAGTAATTTAGTGGTTCATCACTTAGATATAATACCCAGTGTTCCTCCCAAGTGCCCTCCTTTTAAAACAGATTTTTTTTTTCAACGTTTATTTATTTTGGGGACAGAGAGAGACAGAGCATGAACGGGGGAGGGGCAGAGAGAGAGGGAGACACAGAATCGGAAACAGGCTCCAGGCTCCGAGCCATCAGCCCAGAGCCTGACGCGGGGCTCGAACTCCCGGACCGCGAGATCGTGACCTGGCTGAAGTTGGACGCTCAACCGACTGCGCCACCCAGGTGCCCCCCAAGTGCCCTCCTTAATGCCCATCGTCCATTTAGCCCATCCCCCTACCCATCACCCCACCAGCAATCCTCAGTATGTTCTCTGGATTTATGGTTTGCCTTCCTCTCTGTTTTAGTCTTATTTTTCCATCCCTTCCCCTATGTTCATCTGTTTTGGTTCTTAAATTCCACATATGAATAAAATCATATGATACTTGTCTTTCTCTAACTGACTTATTATTGCTTAGCATAATATATTCTAGTTCTATCCACGCTGTTGCAAATGGCAAGACTTCATTCTTTTTGATTGCCTAGTAGTATTCCATTCTGTACAGTATATATTCTACATATACCACATCTTCTTAATCCACTTATTAGTCAATGGACGTTTGGGCTCTTTCCATAATTTGGCTATTGTTGATAGTGCTGGCATAAACATTGGGGTGTGTGTGTCCCTTCAAATCAGTACTTTTGTATCCTTTGGATAAATACCTACTAGTGCAATTGCTGGGTCATAGGGTAGTTCTGTTTTTAATTTTTGAGGAACCTCCAAACTGTTTTCCGGAGTGGCTGCACCAGTTTGCATTCCCACCAGCAGTGCAAAAGTGTTCCCATTTCTCTGCATTCTCCCCAACATCTGTTGTTGTTCAACACCTGAGTTGTTCATTTTAGCCATTCTGACAGGTGTGAGGTGGTATCTCATTGTGGTTTTGATTTGTATTTCCCTGATGAGGAGTGATGTTGAGCATCTTTTCATATGTCTGTTAGCCATCTGGATGTCTTCTTTGGAAAAGTGTCTGTTCATGTCTTTTGCCCACTTCTTGACTGGATTATTTGTTTATTAGGTGTTGAGTTTAAAGCTACCAGCTTATCAAGCCCTTCCTTTTGAATCTCCCAGCAGCCTAGTGAAGGAGGCCAACTTGGAATGTGCATTCTGCACAGGAAGGAGACTGAACTCTGAGAGGCAGATGCCTTCCCCCCAAGCCCGTCAGCTTCTAGGTGCACAGAATCAGGATTTCAACTGAGATCTCCCGACACCAAATCCAGGGCTCTTTCCGTTCCATTCTGGAGAGGGACTTGCGACAATGAGCCCCTAAATGCCAGAAAAAAGAAGAGCGTGATGAAGAGGAAGTGAGAGGTAAGAACTGCAGTTACACACAGAAAAAAAGAATGCACATAAAATAAAGCACACTTGCCCATGAAATGATTTCAAGTATGAAACTTCTTTGGAAGCTTGCAAATCTTCCATAAATGTTATTTCTAAACTGTGCCCATTCCTACATGAAGGAAAGGAGGAATACGACTCCTTTTTTTTTCCTTTCTGCTTCATTTTGTGCCACAGAGGCCCCGGTTCTGAGTCCCACAACACAAAGCAGTAAATAGGGCAGGGTTTATCATGGTCAAGGGCTGAGGTCTTGTATCAAACTCTCTGGGTCTGAAAATCCAGTCTGTCACTTTTCACTTGTGTGTTAAATTACTAAGCCTAAGCCTCAGTTTCCCATCTGTAAAATGCAGAAAATATGGCTCAGTCATTTAAGTGTCTGACTTCGACTTGATCTCATGGTTTGTGAATTGGAGTCCTGCATCAGGCTCTCTGCTGTCAGCACAGAGCCTGCTTCGGATCCTCTGTCCCCCTCTGTCTCTGTCTCTCTCTCTCTCTCTCTCAAAAATAAATAAACATGTAAAAACATTTTAAGTGGAGAAAATAATTCCTTCCTCTCAGAGTTTCGCTCTGTGCCGGGTACGTACCCATGCCCAGCGAAGGTTAGCTCCTCACTGATACCATAGTTCAGCTGCAGGTGAGGGAAACAAGTTTTGAAGAACTACCTTGGTAATATAATCACACTGAACAACATTGTTTCTTTGAAAAAAGGCATTCTGAGTTTTAGCAACCTATAAACGAGGTTCTGAGTAAGTTGAAGGCTATCAAAGAAAAGAAATGGTGTTGATCATAATTTTTTAATAAGTACAACTATTGGTGGGGCACCTGGCTGGCTTAGTCGGTTAAGCGACAGACTTCGGCTCAGGTCATGATCTCACGACATGTGAATTCAAGCCCCACGTTGGGCTCTGTGCTGACAGCTCAGAACCTGGAGCCTGCTTCGGATTCTGTGTCTCTCTCTCTCTGCCCCTCCCTTACTTGTGCTCTCTCTCTTTCTCTCTCTCTCTCAAAAATGAATAAACTTAAAAAAAATAAGTACAATTAACGGCATGCTGTAATTTGTTTAATCAGTGTAAGCCAAACCAAGGAAGAATGGGTTGGGTATTCTACATGAGATAGCTGAAAGAAAAACATTGCTAAGAAGTATGGTTTATCTGTTTCAGTTGCAACTATGTTAAATGCTTTCTTCCAGTTCGTACAATCCCGCTAACTTAAAGAATCAGTTATTTGAGTATAAATTCATTATCCCTTCCTTAAGCGGTGGAGAGTCTGCCAAAGAAGAGAATCATCTTAGTTTCCTTGTGTAAGACTAAGGGGAGGAAAGGCCAGTCCACCTTGAACATTTCAGGATTTTCCCCTTTGCTTGTTTGGCTGGTAAATGTTCACTCTGAACCACCCTCAGTGACCTCTAGCACGACCTTATCGATGATCTTGGAGGCCACAGGGCCTCCTCCTGCAATTATGCCAGACAAGTTAGCCCCTGAGGGGGGTCAAAAACATCAGTCATTCCCAAAGCCGCCCATGTGCAAGTTACACCCTCGTGACACCCGTCAAGTCTGAGCTGGGGCAGAGGCAGACCACAGCAGTCTCTTTCACGGTCACTGAAACTATCAAGTGTTTCTGTTTCTCCGAAGTGATTTCCGTGGTAACCTATGGGAAAGAATGCAGGAAGCAAAATGTGAAAAATTGTGTTTAGACAAAAACTGTACCCAAATGTGAAGCATTCTAAGGGCTGGATGTGAGGCTATGAATAGGCAAGGTTACTTTCCCTAGCCATTTTGGAAAGCAGGTTCTATGAGAACAAGAGGGAGAAGTGCAGCCGTGTGCACGAGCTGCAACTGAAAGCCCTGGAACCTATGCCTAGACACATCGTCCAAGACTCGCTTGGGGAAAAAAAAAACAAAAACAACTAAATCATCATAGGGAATTCCTACTTTCTTCCTTTTGTGATCACTCTATAACGAGCACAACATGTATTATAATTGTACACTTTCTGTAAGTGCCTACCGTTTTCCCTCATCCACATTCAGAGACATCTTTGGAAGCCGAGATCTTCCAGTGTTGACAACATCAATTCGAATTCTAGACTGACCGACTTACGTTCCTACCTCAACTCAAACCAACATTCTCATTAGTCAGGCATCCATAGAGACTGAATTTAAATCACAGTAACATCGGTAAAGGATTAGAATCAAATAATCTGAAATTTGAAAAAGACCGTCAAGGAGTGCTTCCCACAGCATTAGTGACACCAATCAGCACCCACTGGAGAAGCCCTTGTGTTGGTGGTCCGCCCCTTTAGAAAACAGCCAGGCTCCATGGTGGCACAGCTCAGCCCTCAACAAAGGCCCTTCCCATTTGGACCATAAACCTTCTTCCTTGTAATTCCTACCTATTGGTTTTGGTTTTCCCTCGGGAGCCGCACATTATCCATTCCTTCTTCCAGAGAGGCAGGAGATATTGTGACACAATGAACACACTCCCGAACAAAGTGCCCCTTTCTTCATTCATTCTTAACAGAGCACCTTCTCTGGCTTGTCCTCATTCCAGTTGTCCTTACTAGGAGGATCCTAAGTGTTCCATGACTCATCTAGACTATGTTGGGGATGGAGTCTATCAGGAAGTAGGCAGACCAGACACTAAACAATGCAATCTCAAGCAGAAAAAAAAAATTTTGTTCTGCAACTCACATTCATTTAAGAAACCAGGGCTGACTGTCCATATCCACAAAGATGCATCAATGTTAGGTACCATAACAGGAAAAAATTGTTTGACTATAAAGACCAACTAATTCCACCCCCATTCCCTCTTTAAGATCATTTTATCCAACTGTGATTGTGCCTCCGAATCTGCTTCCATCTCAGAGCTCTTAACATTATTTTAAAATGTTCCAATGTTACGACCCAGGTCAAGGATACTGAAGTACACCACAAAGCATTGTCAATGTAATTGTGCACATTATATTAGATGGATGCCATTTCACTGACCTTTCATAAGATTATCAAATTGAAGAGCTCAGAGGAACCATAGGAATAATTTACTGGACTGTCTTCATGGTGTGAATGAAGGTTTGGAGAGGTTAAATGACCATCTCACAGCTTGATAGTGAGTTTGTGGCAAAACTATAGTCAGATTCCAATGTTGCCACCTATAAATTCAGCATTTGTTTTATTTTCAATCCATGAGTTAATCTGCATTCTGGCTTCTACTAAGTTATTTTTGAAATCCAAAATTTCATGTTTCAATTTATATAATTGTTCAATGCAGTCTAAATATTCCTATTAAGTGAGCATAGAAAAAGAAGAGATTTGGTAAATAAATTATGATTTTAATCCATTTAGACCATACATGGTAGAAATCATATGTAAATAGATTTACAGAACTATACAAAATGCAAGTATGCAGGACTAGGACCAACTAAAAATTGATATACATTTGTCATATTTGAGGCATATTTTGAAGTAAAATGAACAAATTATTATAGGATGTTATTTCAATGGCAAAGGACATTTATCTTTCTTTTCAGCCTCTGAGGGTGTACTTTATACCATAACCACATAATTAGGATAATCTGACAGAAGAATTAATGCCAGCAGTAATTAGTGCCAGATATCTTGGGTTCTAAGATACCAATTCCTTTTTTATTACCGATATCAAAATTTCATTAGTGTTGTCGCTTTTTAATCATAAACTATGTAAAATGTATTCTTTTTATGCTTCAACCAGGCTCATCTGAAACGTGACTGAACATGTCACAAATTAACATTTGAAAATTAGAAGCCTAAACCCTTGTGTATGAAATAAACTCATATATAAAATATATTGTATGTTCTCCATATAGCAATATCTATCTCAATATATACATTATCTTTTGTTTATTTTCCTACAGTTTTGATAATACAAACAATGCTAGAATAAATTAAATGAAGGAAGGAAGGAAGGAAAGGCTTCTCTACCTTCCTTCTGCAAACATGCTTTGTTTTAACTCAGAGGCATGGATGGGCTCCTTCTGACAATAGTCCACTTGCCATGTGGACTTGACTGGACATGTTGATTTCTGACAGAAGTGTTTGAATGTGTAAATGGACCCCTGTTTCTTGTTCACACTAGGGTGAAATTAGAAAACAGGGGCCATATCATCCCCACTTAAGTATCAGCTGAGGTTAGACGAGAGGGTCTTGGGTTTGCATTGGACATGCAATTTCAGAAAAACAAACAAACAAAAAGATTCAAAGACTACTCGTTCCACCATTTGGATAAATTGAATTTTTTGCCTTTCACTGACTCTGACAATGAGACCATGGTCAGAGAGCAGGTGCCACAGCGTGTCACAATCACCCCATGGGTGTGCGGGACAATGGCGCAGTCCATGCCCTGGTCGGAGCTTGCCCTGTCTCTGCCACAAGATGGCCCCGAGCACACATTCATACAGACATACTAATTTTAGTATAGTTGGCATCAGAAAAAAAATGTGTTTGCTATATTTTGTAATAAATAAGAATTCTGGGCAATGAAGTTGGGTCTTAGTAGCCCACCATAGGTAACAGTGGTCTAGAAGGTCACATCTTCTAGAAAGTTATAGACCCCCTTACATAAATGAAGGAATGTATTACATTGTTCCTGTAGAAATTACCAATAAGAAAAAGGCATTTAACAATAAATCTCATAAAGATAAGCCATCTTTAGTTACCTTCTCAAAAAATAGTATATTTACATATTTTGAGCACTGACTATGGTCCAGGCACTTCTACTGTCAGGGTAGCTTTTGGATTCCATTATGAAGTCAGTCTGACACTAATCTCCCCTCTGTACTTATTGTTCAAGGAAGGGAATAACCTTTCTTCTTGAAGACTAATTGTCTCTTTCTCAACTTTTTTGACAGTGTCCATTTCATCATCTCGTTTGTCCAAACCTCAATGTGATTATTTTAAAAACAGCATGTGCAGGAGTTTCACTATCTAGATCTATATTCTAGATTGAAAGGGCATGTGAAATAAATACCCTGTTTTATTGCCTTAAACTTTTAGCCCTCCTCCTCGTGGACTAAACATGAACTTCCATTAAAAAAAAAAAAAATGAAAAGAGAAGTAGGAACTATGCGTACCTTTGTGTTTAAGGAATTTGCAGTTCTTGTTAATTCATTCAAGTGAAGCATCTACAATGGGAAACAAAGAATTGTTTACAAAGGCTGTTCAAATGCTGCTCCAACAGACCAGATGGTGATATAGGAAATCAATTTCTTTCCATAAATGTTAATCTGTTTACATTTTTATGAACTTTCTTTTCTTCATCACCTCTTTCTTTTATCTGTTTCTTAGTCTTGTTCCTCATGGGGGAAAAGAGGTATTATTTCAAAGAGGAAAGGTGAGTTTGGAAAACAAAACCTTTCATGTACTCTGAAACAGGAGTGAATGTTACTGTGTTAGAGATGTGTTGTAGGCACTTACGTGTGTGTGTGTGTGTGTGTGTGTGTGTGTGTGTGTGTACCTTTATAATCCCTGTGATAGAATGTAGGATGAAGATTTTTTAAAAAGTTTTAGGAAAGTGTTTAAAAATCATTTCGGCCTTATTCATTTGTGTTGTCACTTAACTGTGTTCATCCCTACATTCCCAGTTGTGAAACATAGTAGGAATCCCATAAGTATTTGCTGAGTGAAGAATGAAACGATTGTGTGAATTAATGAAGGGATCTTAACATCATTTGCGGGCAGTTAATATCATTGGTTACTCACCAAGCATGCAAAGATGATGATTAAATTAATACAATAGGTAATTATTGTCAAATTATTTTCACAAACTGTATCTGATTTGATGATCACAGTATCCCTTGGAGATTCCAGTAGCTTGTATCATTTTCCCCACAAAGGTAAGTTTCTTACAGTCCTACTGACTAACCCAAGGTGCAATTGTAGTTCCCTAAGACCTTTATCAGAAGACAGCTGAAATAAAACATTGGAATGCTCTTCATATATTTAAAAGGTTAGTAGAAATGTGATAAAGAGGCAGTTGATATAGGACAAATATTTCAACTTTCTTAAAATACACACGGAAGAGGATATAATTTTTGTGCATGTCTTTAAGACAGGAAAATGAGCCAGTAAAGGACCAATGGTAACGGAGAGGTAGACTTTAGCTGAAGGCAAGGAAGAACTTTCTACAATGTGGAATTTTCTGGATGTTTGTTAAAAAGCTACCTCACACTATTAAGCTCTGCCTTGTTGGAGGACTGCAAAGAAAAGAGCCACCTCTTGCCTGCTGGCTTCCAGATGGAAGCGTAGAGTGGAGAGTGGGGGCTGAATGACTCCTGGTTCTGAGCTTGCCTGTCAGTGTCCGACATCATAGGACATACTATTGCATAACTCACGGACTCTGCGTGAATGGCGCCCCCTGGTGTAGCTTCAGTGCCCAGCATCCTCCGACTCCTCAAAAGAAAGCCCGATTGTTGAACCTGGAACTCTTGAGCGTCCGTCTCTGTCTTTGAATGTTGTAAGAGAGAATCATTAAGAGGATGAAAAGATGAGGGATTTTCCTCCATTCTGTATGTGAAGCAGCAAGAAAATAAATGTGAATTCTTTAGTTCTCTGCTAACTCGGGCTGCTTGGCAGAAGAGGCAATGAATTATTTCTGCTCCAGACTCTGCGTGACTTCATGTTGAAGGAGGGGTGACAGGAAGAGGTGACTCTGCACATACTCATCCCATGACGACTTGTGAAGAGCCCTCAGCATCCTCAGGCACAACTATTTCTCCCTGTCCACAAACAAGTATTGACTGAACATCTATGGTGGGTAAGACAGTTGGGACCTAGTCTTCCAATGCACAGAAACAGAACAAAATTGACCACGAGAGCTTTTACAGGTAATTTTCTTGAGTTGAAAGTTCATTAAATTCAGAATTTGACTCCAGCTTTTCAAATCCATTTCCACTTGAAATCCTGACTGGGGAGAAGCTTTGTTAATCATTTGAGGTAATCATTCCCTCTGTAATAAGCAGAGAGAGGATTAAGGCATGTTGACCGAGGCCTACTAAGAAATGTTTCTTTCAGTCACCCCAAACGATTGGTTGAATTAAGGCGCTCGTGATGGCTCTGAAAATTTCATGGCATAGATTATAAATCCTTGAAAATATTCTTTATGTGAACCTCAACAGGAAGGGCCTGTTGGGTGGGTGGGGGTGGAGGTGGGGACTCTCGGCTCTGTAATGGCTCAGGCTTACCTGGCTCAGTGTGCCCGTTTGGCCTCAGCTGCGTTCCCTTACCCCTGGCCCCTCAGAACAGAGTTGTGGAAAACCTTACCTTCTGAACCCTTTTTGAAAGAGCCAATTTGATAGATAACCTGAAATGAAGGTGGACATGTTTACAGAGTGGGGCAGCTATGAAATCTCCTGACAAGTGCTTGATATCCTCCCATGATTTTCTTCTAGACATGGCTGAACGTGCCTTTGTGACATAACCTCTTCCATCTGCCATGCATCATGGCCTCCGGCCCCAAAGAGCACTGCAGCCAGGATGGAGAGGAGACTCAAGGGAGAAAAGAAGACGATCGCTTGGTGAGGTCATAGCTCATCTTGTTAAAGACATCAAAGCAGAAGGGGGGGCCCGGGTGGCTCAGTCGGTTAAGTGTCCAACTCTCAATTTCAGCTCAGGTCATGATCTCACAGTTCGTGAGTTCGAGCCCTGCATCGGGTTCTGCACTGGTGGCACGGAGCCTGCTGGAATTCTCTGTGTGTGTGTGTCTGTCCCCTGCTCTCTCTCACACACACTCTCTCTCTCAAGATAAATAAATAAACCTTAAAAAAAAAAAGACATCATTCCTTCCTGAGTTCTGGAATACAAGTGCACACACAACGAAAATGCACATGCAACTGGCACTATTTAGCAGTTTATTTCACGTTAGGCAAAGAGTTACTTCTATCTTGTGAAATCAAAATGCTCTAAGAGGGGCTTTATGGAAGCAAAAAGAACACAGATTTGGAAAAAATGCCTTTCCAGCTCTGCCACGATCTAGCCTCATGACCCTAGGAGAGTTACTTCAGTTCTCCTGGTCTCTCCTTTCTCTCTGGCAGTGGCTAAGCGACCGCTTTCTCGCAGGATTCTTGTGAGGATTAAATTATGTAATAGCTGTAAAGCAGCCAGGACTGTGCCTGCAGATAGTGGGTGGTCAGATATGTCAGTGACTATTGTCATTATTGTTGTTGCCCTTAGTTTAGTGTAGTTCATTTGGTTAGGGTGAGGACAAACAGGACAAGGTTATAGCTTTGGTCCCAGCAGACACATGACCTCACTGAGTGTTTCAAAAGTGCACAAAAGGGACTGACAAGAGGGTAAGGACACACCACCAAAAACCCATTTGCCTCACTGGAAAAACATCTCAAAGTGCACACCTCCCACAGTGGGATTTCAGCTCAGGTCCTGATCCCAGGGTCGTGGGATCAAGCCCCACGTTGGGCTCTGTGGTGAGTGTGGAGCCTGCTTAGGATTCTGTCTCTTTCTCATTCTCTCTCTCTCTCTCTTTGACCTTCTCCCTTGCTCGTGTGCTCTCTCTAAAATAAAAAAATAATAATAAAATTTGTTTTTTCAATCCTCCAATATTTGAGAAAGACGGAGCTCCCTGCTCTAGGCTGTCGGGCTGGAAGACCTTACTTTGACTTGACCCTTTCATGTGGCCACTCACAACCACAGCAGGGCTTCAAAGCTCTGAATCTCTCCAAGGGAGTTATGCAAAGTCAAGTAAATGGAGCACTCTTAGATGAAGGACAGTCTGTCATTCCTTCTTCATTCACTAAATTCTCCCTTCCCCTGGGCAATGTCTAGAGAAATGAGGTTAAAGAACAATGGGGAGGCTCAGGAGTTTTGCTTCTATTGGTGCTTGGTGGAATCAGATAATGGGACCCCATGTACTGTGTGGGGCTATTCTGAAGAACCACTTGGAGTCTGGGCCCCCTGGGATCAGTGTTGGGACAAGGATGAATGAAGACCTGAGGGTGCAAAATTTTAGGAAGCACTCACTTTACTGTGTTGACCCTCTGCTTGTGTGGCCCTGTCCCTGGCAGTGAGTACGTCCTTAAGAATGAACCACCCAGGGGCGCCTGGGTGGTGCAGTCGGTTAAGCGTCTGACTTCAGCCAGGTCACGATCTCGCGGCCCGTGAGTTCGAGCCCCGCGTCAGGCTCTGGGCTGATGGCTCAGAGCCTGGAGCCTGTTTCCGATTCTGTGTCTCCCTCTCTCTCTGCCCCTCCCCTGTTCATGCTCTGTCTCTCTCTGTCCCAAAAATAAATAAACGTTGAAAAAAAAAATTTTTTTTTAAAAAAAGGAAAAAAAAAAAAAGAATGAGCCACCCACTGAGCAAAATTTCAGGAGGCACAGGCACTCAGGGTCATAAAGTCGCAGGGCCTACACCTAAGAATGAGTGCTTCCTTAAATTTTGCTCCTTTGGGAACCTTGCTTGCCTGTCCTTGCTCCTGGCCCTGCTTGGGACACCAGGTCAGGGTTTTGGATACAGGAGGCTGCAGGTCTGTGTTTCTGGTGGCTGTACTGTTCTGTTATACTACAGACACCTTAAAGGGTTTCCATTAAGATATCGGAATCAGAGTGAAATTCTCCCGTTGTCTGCTGTTGATGTCAATGGAGTATCTTACCCTTAGGAAAGTCAAAGTGTTTTAGGAAAATGCCTTCTTTTTCCTGCACATTTTAAAGGGGAAAAAACTCAACGTGGTACATTTCCTTAGAAAACATCTGAAAAAGAAAAATATAGTTGCTGAGTTTGAGTAAAGATGTAAATATCTTTATATTTTCCACCGAAGTATTTAACTTATACAACATCGTCTTGCCAATATCCGGGGGCCCAGAAGCAATTTTCCCAACCCAGGGGTGTGGTTCCAATAAAACAGCCTTAAGAGTTCCTACACAGAGAGGATCAAGTTTAAACAATTTGGCTAGCTAGGTAGCTGACATTTCATAGGGACCAGAAATGTTACGACTTGCTTAAAAGTTACCACTCTCTTCCCATCAACAGGGATGTAAAATCCTCTAAGACACCAGTATATTTCTGTATATTCTGGGGATCGAGTGGGGGGAGAAAAATATGGGTCAGATGGGGTTCAAGTTTACAAGAAAATAGAAACAGATGTACAGGCTAAGATCTGTTTCTCAGAGTTTGTGAGACACTGACCCATTGGGTTTTTTTCCTCCCTCATTCAACTGTTTGAGAAATCTACCTCCTGGTAACCTTTCATGGCCACCCTACAAGCAAAAACAGTCCTCTGGCTACACCAGTTAATTCTAACTGGATCCACAGAAACTGAGAAATATGATTGCTGAAGGGACAATTAGCTGAAATGGCCAATCACGGGTCTTGATAACAGAGAGCCTTTAAATCTGACAAACTTGAGTTCTAATATGAACTTTGCCTTCTGCTACACATGTGAGTAACTTACTTAACTTCTCTGAACCTACCCATAAAATAAATCTCTGAGTGTAAAATAGGAGTCATCTGACCAGGTTGTGGTGAGTGTGAAATATAGATAAAGCCTCTGAATAGAAACATTATTCAATACTCTTATCTCCCTCCCCCCTTCTAAGGATTATGGATTTAACTCAAGGAAGAGTCATAGATTTGAGAAGGAAAGTATCAGGTCCCCAAATTAATTCTACAAATGGGGAAACTGAAGTGAGCCTAGTGGGGCTGCATAAATTTACTCAAGTCCACACAGCTAGAAAACATCCAATTCACCAGGAACACCCAGTTTTCCCGACACACTGGCCAGCATCTTGCCCTCTAATTTACCAGATAGATACACAACATAGAAAAAGAAGATCTAACGTTGGCACCACAGAGCACAGTTTCTTCGTAGGTGTTGTAGCCATCTAGGAGCAAATTCGTCACTCAGCCTGAGTTCAGTCACCATGAAAGTCTTTACCTTAACCTGGGAATAAAGATGGGTGACAGGAATGGCTCTCTCCAGTGTTGGAAAACATGACATCAAAAAGCTCCCTCAGTGAGTGTGAATAGTGGAAAACAGAACCACAATGCCTTGTTTTACATTTGTGCCTCCCTTCCACCCGCCCCCTGCCCCTCAAACCATGGTGCTTCTCACTGTCCTTTGATTACAACCAAATACATTCTCCTGTAGTTTCTCAGACGACTCATCAGCAGTTATAAACATCGTGTCAAAGAAGCTACGGTTTACTTTGCATTTATACCTTGTCTTCAGGTGGGCTGAAATTCTGTTCTGTGTGCCCACAGCTGTGTCTACAACACAGAGACAAACACAGTACTCCAGTACTCACCACCCAAAGTCTTCTCAGAATTTGGTTGCACAAGTCATTTTTCTTTGCATTGTGAAGTGATTTAAAGTATTTATGCGAAGGAGTAGAGAATAAGCCAGCTGATGTATGCAATGTAAAACACACTGCTTCTCTGGTCAATGTAGTGACTCAAGAGATATGGAAAATCTTTTTTTATTATTAAAAAAAACATTTTTAATGTTTATTTATTTTTGAGAGAGGGAGAGAGAGAGAGACAGAGAGAGAGAGAGAGAGAGAGGAGGAGGAAGAGGAGGGGAAGAGAGAGAAGGAGACACAGAATCTGAAGCAGGCTCCAGGCTCTGAGCTGTCAGCATGGAACCTAATGCGGGGCTTGAACTC